GCCTTCTGAAAACGAATAGACTAATAGAACCTTTATTAGTCATAATCACAAAATTCAGAATCGAGCCATGCGGACTTTCGTTTTCACGATCTTTTGTATAATGTCGTCCAGATTCACTTTAAACGAGTTCGTCACTTTAATCTATATGCTAAGGTCCGCCAACCTCTCCTTCCCCATCGAATTTCGCAGATAATTTTGGATAACTTTCAATTTTTAAAAAGATCGCTCTTCAGTCGTAACCGTCACGGGAATCGTAAGCAAAACGCCAGCTGAAAGAATGAAGTTCTCGATCAGGATGACGTTAGCCAATTTCCTGACTGAACGAATCTTCGAAATTCGATCTCTCAGACAATAGGATAATAGCTGGGTAACAGTTGTTCAGTTACGTCGTCGTAGGATTTCTTGCTGAATTGTTTGCAGTGATTCGGAAATTTTTCGCCCGAAAGCTGCAAAATAATTTGCGGCCGAATGATCGCAAACCAGTCGTATAATCACCAGCGGTGCCCCGTTGGTGGGAAATACCTGGCTGAAAGAAAATCCCCGCAATCTGACATAGGGCATCGTCGGATCTTACTATTCAGCAGGAAGATCATCACATCCCGCGATAAAACATGCCCTACACTTGTGGGACTAATGACTTCGGTCGTTGGCGCCCGGAATCTCGAATCAATGAACAAAGAAGCCCAAAAACTTCAAAACCCTCTGCAATATTTCATAACGGAAAACTGTTATGTCGCATTTGTTTAAAGTAAGGTGACCAATCGTCGTCCTGTAGGGTGAACAGCCCTCGTTTTATAGGTCCTGGCCGTCCTCGAAAAGCGTCGTCCTACCTGTCCCCCTTTTATTTTAAAACTAATCTGTTAATATCATTATTCAGAGATGCCGCGCCGAAATGTTATACGTTCATGTGACGGTACAGTACGGAAAGGCAGGGTTAAGGTGCCAGGTCGGTGAAATTCCCTCCGTTTCCAGCGGGTTTTTAACTCGTACCGCGGGGGAAAGTAATTCCGCGGACAGAAAATAAGCGGAAAAATCCTCGTTTAATTAAATTATTAAAAGGGATGTAAGGGTAATTGTATGTTTGTTTGAATTAATAAAATGTTAGATTTATTTATGTTGTATTTATTTCTCAATATTTTGCGTGTTTCTTGTAATTGTAAAAATGTTGGTTACCTTATTTAAAGGGGCAAATTTCAAAACAAAGATCTGTTAAAGATGTTGCAAACCCATTCATAACACTGCGCAACAATGAAAATATTTAGGGCTGAAAATACCTTGTTCTTACATATTTCAACCTGCCGAACTCAAAAACGCCATAAAAATGACCAATGAGCTCTTGCTTTGGAGATACAGTGACACACCTGTTTTTAGTCTACATTTTCAGTTTGGGGAAAGTTTTGTTTTAGAGAGTTGTTACGCCCTGTTAACTGACACAATGTGATCTGGCTGTTTATATGTTATAAACGCAATCATCATTGCAGTGAGCGAGCGTTTCATATTGTTTCTGTGGTAATTAGCGAATGATATCCAGTGGTGGCTGGTGCTTTTCATTAATGGGGAGGAGGCTGCATGCAAAAATAGAAAATGCGTTTAGATATACTGGTGTAGGTCTACGACGAGCTTTTATATCGCACTTTTCTTTGGAGAGTTAAGCTTCTAAATTTCAGTTTTCAAATAATGAACAGGATCGTATTTGTATCCAATCTAAACACGAATTAGTGCTAAAGCCACGTGTGTTATATTCTAACTAGTCAAAATTACGCGAAAAGTGCTCAAATTTTCGAACAATTGTACGTGATCTTATTTCAAAATATATCTTTAAGGAAGAGATTCCATTAGGGAAAAAAATCATTATCGTCAATATTTTAGACTTAGGAAGGCTGGAAATATGACCTTTTGCAAATTTTGAAAAAGTATCGTTTTTAACGATAATGAGACCAGTGTCATTCGCTTAGACGTCATTCACATTATCCAACAACGAAATTTAATAAAATACTATTTTTTTATACATAATTTTTCAAAATGTCCGATGTGACTTCATGTAAAGTAGCTCTAAAAATTGAAATATCGGTTTCAAATTCAAGGGACAAAGACATCAGCCAGGTCGATTGAGGAATGTCAATTTTGGATAAAATCGGCTGCACGGTTTAGCCGCTAGCATTGTTCACAGACGGGCCGACATATATGTATGGCTGTCATTCTACTTTTCAGTATCAAGGGCCCACAAAACATGGATTCTGGCTATACCACGTGTTAGAATTTTTATTTCTCAATTTAGCAACTGGATGTATCCACATTTTCGTTCAAGGCTCTGTAATAAAAGTTTTTCTGCCGAAAATTCGCCGTTATTTCGCACGGCATTACATAACCTCCCTCCTCCGTAGCAAGAAAGGAAAAAAAAATATAATACAGCACTACAACTATACCATTCGTCCGAAAGAGCTTTAAAAATCATGTAAACTTCGCGCAAAACTCAGGAAGGGACTGCCTTTTCTGCAGCCCCGAGAGTCGTAATATTGAGAAACATTAGCGGGGGAAGCGAAATCAATGACACCCATACTTCGCTGCATGCAGCTGTCTCAGGGAGGGAAATGGAATCGCAGCAGAACATGGCAGAATCTTTCTGCAGTGGGCTATACTGGTCATGTAATCGAAAGAAATACTATTTCGCACATTTTATTTTAATATTGAAGATAAACTTAATAATTCTGACAAGGGCTGGGAGGCTGCAGTCTAACCCCACCAGCCGTCACTGATCATTTCTGATTTTAGAGTACTTTTAAAGTGTACAATTTGGTAAATTAAAATGTCACGTAATTGTGTTAATTCAATGGATAATGTTTGTTACATCTGTGGTGAAATAACATTTTCGTCACAGAAAAGCAATCTCACGTCTCTTGTGAAGACAACCTATCAGCAATATTTTCGTATGAAGGAAGGAGACCAGGACAAGTCAGGGCTCTCAGTATTGTAATTATTATATGCTGAATAAAAGTGGAAAATATGTGGAGATCTAAAAGACATCGCTGTACTCTTACAATTGCATCTGAGGTATTCTAAATGCAGTTCATAAATGTTTTTATGAATATGAGGCAGCAGAGACAGTAAATCACATTACATTTAAGAAGGCTGGCCTGCAAGAAATCTCTCTTGCGAAAACAATCTCGATAGCGAGTCTTGTACACCTCAAAATGCCCGTCTTCCACCCCTTCATATAAAGGTGGGATTGATGAAACATTTTGTCAAGCCACGGACCAAGAAGGACCGGTCTTTAGGCACTTGAGAGAAAAATTTTGTATATTTAGTGATGCAAACGTTTAGAAAGGTATCTGTGTTGAACCACAAATTCGACAACAGTAAAGGATCCTGCGTTTGACAGAGTTTTGGATGGGAAAGAAAAGGAATCTTGGGAAGCATTCAAGGGAGGTATTCATAGATTACTACAAAAGGCAAACATAAGAGATGATAATTACACTCAGTTAGTGGCAGTACGTGCGCAAAAACTTCCATGCAACATGTCCCTCCATTTCCATTTTCTCCACTGCCCCACATTTTCTCCACAGACTTTTCCCCTCCTAGCTGTGGAGCAATCAGTGAGAAACGGAGAAAGATTCCATCAACATTTCTTTAAATGAACCAAGATTTTAGAGCCGTTGGAACGAAGTTATACTTCCGGATTACTGCTGGTCTGTATGTAGATATGCCCCAGAACTCACAAGAGGGAATCCAAAAGAATGCGTTCTCATGAAGCCACCACATAATTCTCTTCAAACTCAACAATTCGTTTTTTTCCCCTGTTAATTTAGAACTCTTGTCATTTAGAAAAAGTCAAGTGAACTTTCAATGCTATTGGCACATAGTATAAAAAATGTATAATTTTCTCTTAATATGTCAAAGTTAAGCATATTTTCATATATTGGATATTATAGAAACAAGAGCTAACAAAAAAAATTCTTTGCCATATTCGTTTTTCTCTACTCGAAATTAGTAGTATTTAACTCATAAATTGAAGAAAACAGCAAAGATTTTTTCTATTGGACAGTGAAAATTGCGTAAAAGTTTGAGCGGCATGTGTACAGAATTGATATAATTTGTGACATGGTCGCCGGCTCTAAACGAACGTTTTCAAAAGTAAAGCTGATTAAGAATCATTTACAAAGTACAATGTCACAAGACCGTCTGAATAATTGAAGTATTTTATCAATTGGGCACGAAAAAACGATATGATTGAGAATAATATTTCTTCTGTATTGTAATTGCGAAGAAAATAACAAATTTAAATTTTAAATTACGTAATGAAATTGAAAAAAATAATAATTTATTTTATGTAATATTTTATTTTAATGGATATTTTCGTTCCTAAAATTCAGTTCATAATCACAAAATTAAATTCGTGACATGTATTAGGGGGCCCATATTGTGTGGGTCCAAGGGCCGTCTTTGTTGAACTTACGCCACTGGGTTGTAACGTCGTGAACATACACTTTTGCAATTATGGATTTCTATATTAAAGTAATGGAAATAACAATAGTATTGATATTTTTGTAAGGCTATCAATGGTCACTAGCTTTACATAACAATTGTGTTTCATCTCTTAACACAACTGACTCGGTACATTTGAATGAAAGCTGATCTCTGTTTCAGGGAGACACTAGCAGTATCAGTTGTTTATAAATACCCCTGAGAGTTTCGTCAGAACCCTTCCATTTTCGACCATGTGCAACTAGTTTTGCGATTCATAACATGACATGCCTCACCCTGACTTTGTGTTTGGTCGTCGTGTCATGGAGCCGTTGTGTGAGTGGCTGGGCGGGCGGCCTACATGCTCCGGACAACAATTTTTAAAATGCTATTTCTTTGTGTCCCATTTTGAAATATGGCAGATAGATACATTAGTGTAGAAATACATGAGTATTTTTTTCAAATTAAAGTGCCTGCCCAATATGAAAATTTGTATTTTAAAAATTAAAATTTATTTAAATGTTTACAAAAATTATATTTACATCACATGAAAGTACATCTTTCTGGTTTTAATTTAGGAAATTGTATTTTTTGGAGGAAAATATAAATGCTTGAAAAATGTTTAAACATTAGCGCGCGCAGGATTCTTAAAAATAATTGGTAATATTTATGAAAGGACTGGAATTATAAAAAAAAAAAATACGTTACACCTATTTCCAACCCTAGATCTCATAACAAAAATTAAAGCCGCTAAAAAATAATTGTTTCGTGAGTGCGATTTATTTTGTCATGACTTATTTTGTCATTACATATTTGCCAGTATTAATAGTGGAAGTGACATTTTGTAATAATTTCACGAAGCAAATGACTGGAATGGGTATCAAAGGAAAAATAATTGAAGGCGTGTAAGTTTCTTAATTTTATTTGTAAAATGCCATGTCAATTGCATTTACAGTTGTTTGTATGATTGCGACTTCCGAAAGTTAATTTGGTTCTTCCGAAATAATTTCCGTTCATTAAAAATATTTCCCCTTCTTTCTCAGATATTCGAAGAAGGCTTTGAAAATAGGCCCTATGTTCATTGGGGACCAAATATATTTTTTCGCCTTATCTCGTGAAATTTACTTTCGAATTCTACATGTAAATTGGGGATCGACCTTACTCTAGGCATATGTAAATTGGGGACTAAACCAACCCAGGTAAGGAAAATGACTGATTGATCAAAATGAAAAGCGAAAAAAGCTCTAGAAGAGTGTCCAGATTTCATGTACACTGTTATCTAGCATTAGCCGAGAAAAGAAAGAATATAAAATTGCCAAGATAAGCCGAATTTCCCTTGTAAAATATGCTGCACATTTTCGCAAGCCATCAAATCTTTGTACGTCTCCTGTGTAATTGGCTAAGGTGTAATACAGCCATCTTTGTAATGAAATAACTAGTACATATAGAATAATCAACAAAATTAGGCAATTTACTCAATCAACTAATGATTCAATTCAATTTGAAGAGAAAACCAGTTATATTTCGAAAGAAATACGCCAGTCATAAATCTCGAAGATGGGAAGAGAGTTACGGTTTAAAAATAATGGCTATGAAAATGTTCTTCGAAAAGAATGTCACCTACTTTTACCTGAAAGGAAATGAGGTAGTTGGTACCCAATTTATGTGGGCCCAGAACGTGTCCTGAACTTACATATGCTTTTCTCTGGACCAGTTCCCAATTTTCATATTGGTAAAACTCATATTTTCCTTTGGTCCCCAATTTACATATGCCATGAAAATCTCTTGCGGATCATCAGATGGAATCCCTAATGTGATCGAACAGATAAAAACAAAAACAAACAAACACTCGGGAGATCGTTTGTTAGTCGCCGAGACAAAACTCATTCGGCCATCTCCAAACGTGATAAAGGTGTCTTTAGCCACTCCCCTTTTTATATAGCGCAGCCAGAGAGGGAAATAAGTGACCGGAAACGGAATGAATCTCGATGAATAATATCACAGAGCATAGAATACTACAGAGGAAACATCTTTTCTCTCCAGTTGTTTTCATCCCACAAGTCACTCCACTCGCTTTGGACTGTATGCCTAATGTGTTACGCGTGCGCTAGTTGTTTGTTCTCCGTTCTATTTTTTAAATGTTGTGGATTTTAACATGCTTTAATGTCTCGGTTTTTGTTGCAGTAATGAAAGCGAGGAGAGAATGAACTACGAGTAGAGCTTTCATGTTTAACTGTGAAATATTAAGAATGAAGGCATTTAGAATTTAGAGAAGTGGATTCAAGGGAGCAAGCAATATTTTATGTTAATGTGAATATTACTGTAGAATAGGCTCTCAATTGCAACACTCGCAAATTTATTACATAAACTACCTCCCGTGAGAAAATAGAAACCGTAGTTATATAGTATACCAGAATAAAAGTAATTGGTGAAGGACAGAAGAACACGAAAAACAAAGAAATTCTTTTGTAATCCTTATTTTTATTATGATATTGAAATAGTTGCCATCAAAATAGTCATTTGAATTGGTTATTACGTTTTATGCATTTTGCTCTCAATGGTTATTTTAGAATTTTCAAAACTGAATGGTGTCCTAACATCAAACGACGTTGGGGTTGTGCAATTAATTTTAAACGGACGCCAGTATATTCATTAAAATACATTAAACAAACTCGTAGGTGCACAAGTACCGTTACTTTAGAGGGACATCTAAAATGCTATGAAGGAAAATTTGCGCTAATTCTGTTGAACTTCATAAAACGCAAGAAGTATTATTTCCGATGTTTCCTTCATTTCAGCAAAAATAAACGAGCCTGTGGTTATAAAGCGATTGACATTTAGGATAAGAATAGCTCGGCCACCTGTGTGTAGAATTGAGCAGAAAGTGAATTCAAGTAGGAGTAGGAGTGAGAAGAACCGCTCAACAGCCGCGGAATTGTCTGGATGCCTTACAATATTTCATGCTCTGTAATATCGATTCATATTCGTGGAGAACCGACCGAGCAATTTTTCTGTTCGAATGATGCTGACAAACGAGATGGGAAGAATTGGCTACTGAATATCCGTTAGTGCCTGTTTTGGTGGTTTTTGGATTGGAAATTTAGAATTAATGGATATCATCTATCCCTTATGGAAACGTGTAGGTAAAAAAATATGAATAATTGTTTTTCAAAATTAATATTTGGTACGAATTATCTCGTACTTCGAAAGAATAACAAACTTCATGCGACGAATAGAGCTGTACACGTAACATATGCCCTTTTGTATAATCAAAATAAAATTTTAAAAGAGAGTTCTAGTGATAATATATGAGTACTACACGCAGAAGTAAGCTCTTCCCGCAAAGATGCTAGTTCACTCTACTTTTTACACTCTTTGCTTATTGTAAGGATCTCTGTGTCCCGAACTCGCGGTGGCGTAGCTAGGCCTCTGATTCCCAGGGGGTCAGTGACATTTATCAAAGAAGAAAAAATAAAATAAATGTAATTGGAGGCATGGCTGGGCAGAAACGCACACATTTTCAGTTCGACGAAAATAGGACGTACAGATTTCGCTAGCCGATCTGTAGCAGGGTAGTGCAGCCTTTCATTTAATCATGCCGCCCCGGGCCATCAGCTTCTCTCGTCCAGCTTAGCTACACCACTGCGTTCCCGTCAGCGCGTCGGGACCGGTCGGGACCCCGTCTCCGCTCCCGCGCGTTTGCGCAGCCTGTCCTTCCAAGTCTCCCGACGACGGGGGCCCGGCGAGATGCGACGCCCGCCCGCCCGGCAGGTTGGCTGGCAGGCAGGCGCTCACGTGTAGAGGATGTCGTAGACGGAGCGCGGCAGGTGTTCCGCCACGAGAATCTGCAGCTTCTCGGCGCGGGTGATGGGCGTGTAGCGTGGCAGCGGGAAGGTGCGCGCCACGGCGTCCGAAAGGGCCCGCAGCACGGGGCCGGTGTCCGTTTCCTGCACACACACGCGCGCAAGTTCTACACTGGGGATCTAACAAATGGGTTACTTACTTCCAGTGACGGAACTTTTGGTCATTGGTAGATACGTCAATGACCGAATGAAATTATTTAAAAAAAATAATTTTCATTATTTTAGAAAATAATGTAATAACAGGAAAATGACCAGATATTTGAGTGGTTATAATAAAGAAACTGCTCAAAAAAGGCATGAAACGAGAAGCACGTAAAGGATTCGCCAATATTAGCGCATCGAATTGAGAGCTTGCCGACGCTCACGGTGACTCATCCGGTCGCTTCGTGTTTATAAATAAATAAATGTGTTTATTGATGGCGAGGCTCAGGCCATTTAGCCTGAGCTTCCGCCTGACCATCCCCCCCCCCAAACAAAAATCAAAGAGAATACGCAATTTGGTTGAGGGGGTTTTCCACATTGCAACAGGAATGTAAGCGAGGGAGAAAAGAGTAGATAGAAAAGGGAATATCCTCACAGCACAGCATTTATATGCCTTTGCACGGAGATAATACTGTTATTATCGCTTTTTTGGTTGTCATGCAGTGAAAAGGAAAATTAAGATAGTAGTTTAGTTGAAATAATTATTTTGTTCACTAATATTTAAAGAGATGTTTTTTTATTGCAAATGTCACGATAAAAAAAATCGTGAAACGAAGGATTTTCTGAGAATTTGTTTGCTAAGTTGTGTACAAATATTTTTTAATAACTGATATTTTAAAAAACGAACGGAAAATAATTGCTTTTTAATAGAATTGCGATATTTTAAGGCACAAATTCATGACCATTGGTAAAAGTTTTGAAAGAAGAAAATTGTGACTGCGAATACATGGGTATTTTGTTTAGCTAAAAAGATGCTAGATAACAGTTTCAACATTATCCGTAGAAAGAAGATTTTGTGCTTTCAAAATTATAAAAGATGAATTCAAGGAGTAGAGCGAATGTGCCATTTGCCTCTCGTATTAATCGAGAAAGAACTCTTGGAATCAATAGGAGAGAAAGATGATTTCTACAAATCATTCAAATATTTGCCACTACAACAGGACGGCTGGACTCTAAATATGTAGTTATGTAGGATGTTTTCTTTACACATATTTATCCTATAAATTCATTAATGTCAATGCAACGTCATCATGTCAGCTTTTAAATGTCACACATTATTTTAGAAGAAAGATTTTTATGAATGCAATACATTTAGAATATAAATGTATGTGCTTGTTCAGATCGTTCACATGAGCGTTGTACGGAAGAGTAGCAACTTTGGGAAAAGTTGCAGACAGTATTCAACTGGCAATAAATCAACTTGTTTAACCATTAGCGAAATTATTAGGAAGTATTTACTTTTATGTGCCCGCTTAAGCGAAAGATTTATGTTTTTGGAATGGGTTCGCGTCGTGGACTATCGCGAGTCCGTCCGTAGCTGGTGCATGCGAGGGAATGGAAGCTTGAGGAAGAGTAGGAAGAGTGGGCGATCTGGGAGTTGGGAGGAGACGACGTGCTGCTCTTAGGGGTTTGTTCGACAGAGTCCGCGCCTATTAACTAAGCTAAGAATACCGTTACTGTCATCTAATTTCATAAATTTACTGTTTTGTTTCCTGAAAATATGATTTTAAAAAAATATCTTATTTTCGGGTGAGCCCAATTCTGTTATCAACGTAAAAGTTGTCTTAGACAAGGATTAAAATCCTGATGTGCAAATCGGTTGTATTCCATATGCCATAGTTTTACTCGTTCTCCATCGCGAAATATTTTGAAGAGATAAAAAAGGTTTTAGTTCGGACATACATGCCGCCCTCCTAATTCGCAAACCCTGACCGACACTGTCCTTATGTCGATTACCACGAATTCTTATATCATCCCCGCGCTTATCACATACCTCGTCGATCGTCTCTGACATCTGTCGCCTGAAATGCTTTTGACATATTCTAAAACACAATTCGTCCTATATTACGACTGTTTAACCAATAAATATGTGCTGGAAAATTCCACATAACGAACTTACTCAATTGACAGAAATCATTAGTAATTGTTAAAAAATACCATTATTACAATTATAGGTTTAAGGTTCCCTATTATTTTATTTTTAAACATTTTTTAGATTTGTTTTAAAACTATTGTTATTTTAAAAAAAATATTTTGTGTTAATTGTATAGCAGGCCTGCACAGCATTTTGCACTTTGTCCGACCTCGTGAACCGCGCGCTAGCCATCCCTGTGGAAATGCGGAGAAATTTAAAGGGTGCGGATGAGGCAAATTCTAGGAGTGGGGGCCACCAATTAGAATGCGCAATTCGAACCGTAGCGAATAAATTTAAAGAGCAAACGAAACAAAACATGACGGTTACACACAGTTCAAGTAATATTGATTTTTGTATTATATTGAAAATGTTTGTTGTCGAATATGACAATGTGAAATATGAAAATACAACGAATTATATATATTTAATTTGGACACCAAATAATACAAATGCTTGTAAGATAGATAATGAAATTCGCTTTTCTACGATTTAATCACAAATACTATTTTGATAAACACAAAATTATGATACTGAATTGTTTTTGTTTCATATCAATAAATAATTTTTTCATTAAATATGTTTAATTGAGTAATGCGGTTCTCTCAAAGCTAAAACATATTGTTACTAAAAATCATGATTATTTTCTGCTCTAATTTATGACAAGAGTACATTATATGTTTCTAGTATCAAATCAACGAATACTATTCATCATTTACGACATTGTACTATAAAAATATTAACCTTTTGCATTCTATTTAACAAGACTCATGATCATTAGAGAGGTTTGGTCGTTGATATCTTCAGATTCATAATGGGGAAAATTGTCACAAATGTATTTGCTGCTAAACATTACTCTTCTTGCCTGTTTTGCCTATATTCATATATGACTAGATTCTATTTTTATGTCAATCTTGATGTGAGAGATTGCTCTCAAAATTTTCATTTTGCTATAATTTGGAAATAATAACATTCCTGGTGAACAATCAACTATTAAATTGTAAATTTTTGGTAGTTAGAATTAAATAATAAAGTTTTAAAAAAGGCCACTGCTTTAAAATATTGCTTAAGAGTCACAATGATCATCAACTAAAACAAATTACATTCAGTGGTGGATACGCAGCAGTGCCCCGAAGAACGTAAACAGTGAATTGCAGCCTTTGTGGCTTAAAATATGGGACGTCGCCCATTCAAATAAGTGGGAAAATGATTTCACAGCATCCCCCCCCCCCCCCTCCGGCATTCAATCTACGCGCGGCGTCATGCAACGTGAGTCTTCTCCTCTCCCCGCGAAGCTTCCTATCCCCCACTACTTGCACTTTCAGCGCTGTTGCGGGCAGACGTAAGTGCAGAATGGAGCAGGCGTTGCGCAGGCCTGATATAGTAGTATCAGTATACACCTCAAGGCGTGTTTTGTTCACAAAGCATTGTGAAATTATAACTCCTACTCGAGTAGTTAATATGCATTTGTCATATTTATTGCTTATTCTAAATAATTGAAAACCATCAACTTATAACATGTGACATTTGCCCAGGCTTGGAAGGCAATCATCATGCGTTGAGTGAACCACGAAATCCCTTCGACTACTACAGAAAGTGACCCGCCAATCACCAACGCATGATACATTGCCTATCACTCCGGGGCAAATGTCACATATTACTTCGTTGTATGAAATTACCCACCACTTATTTATTGACAACTAGACGTGTTAAAACAGCACTTTCTCGCATCATTTGAAACAGTTACATAATATTGAAACAGCAAATTCTGTCCTACTGACACCTCATCTATTACTTGAAAAAGTCGAATTCAATTCAAAAAATAGAAACAAAATTAATAAATTAGACTGTTACAGCAGCAAATTAAATAGAAAAAAGAATAATTATACAAACGTTTGCCTTGATTACATCGAAGTGATGTTCCAATTTTTGAATACCATAATCAACGATCAAAACTTCTTAACGTACTCCTAAAAGAAGTGTATTTGTTAGTTCTACGTCAAATATATTACCTTGCTTAAATTTGTTTCCTTTCATAAGAACATTAGGTACTGCCACTTTGCGAACTGACTGCATGTCAAACGAAGCGAAACGAATTTACAATTTCGATATTCTTTGGCAATTTTCGAAAATACAGATAGTTGGCTGAGAATTCTGCTAGTACCACTTTCTTTACTGTTCTTTACTCCATTCTAGGAAAAATTTGAAGAAACAATTTGGTGCCGTCTTTGAGAACTGTTTAAAAAGTTAAAAAAACGTCTGTTTTGCGCAAAATTACGCAAAAGCTACTCGTATTTTAAAAAATTGAACTTGAAAAAACTACTCATATTCATATAGGCGATTGGTATTTCCGTGCTGTAATTGCTGATTGTCTGATAATTTAACTTACGGGTCCTTTTGTAAATTCCTCCAAAGAGCGTACTCGCTTCTCGAAATAATCTTCACCATAGTCTTTTCTCGCATCTTCTGACATTGTATTCCACATCAGTTGTGCCTGATACAGCATCATTGCTTTGGAGAAACCTTTCTTTCCTGCAACAATTGTATAGTCTTAAAATTTAGTATTCTTCTCAACTTTTAATTTAATTAAGGTGCTTTGAGCTCATCACCTCACCTGTGGTGTATGTACCAGGTTCCACTACGATAACGTCAACCCCCCAGTGACGCATTTCCAGTCGAAGGCATTCACTGAACGCTTCAACTCCGAACTTACAAGCGCAGTATGATGAGAGGTTTGGAGATGTAATGCGCCCCATGATACTTACCAAGTTTATGATGCGGCCTGAACAGATACAAAATGAAATAGCAAAGATAATTAGCATTGATAATTATATAGGAGATTTAATTTGTATTTAAGGATATTTGCGGAAAAGGTGTTTGTTTTGTAAGTCACTGAACAAAAATGTTGTCCCAAATACTTGTGACAACTGATAAAGACTTACCTCGAGTTTTGCGAACCAATGGCAAAAATACTTGGGAAATTCTCACGACACTTAATAAATTGACATCTACAGCAAGCTTGAAAACGTTGTATGGAACCCACTCCACTTCACCAAAAGTAGCCCAAGATGCATTGTTTACAATAGCCCACAGTCCTGCAAAAGAAGTTAACAAATTTCTGTAAATCATGTATTATATTAATTGTGGCTATGATTGTGAAATAAATGAACTTAATCGTTGACATTCTTGTTCTTTAAGAGATATATTTTTAAAAAAGAAAAAAGGTAGTGATGTTATGACTTTATACCATACTTTGTCATACTATTGACAACTGTTACGTACTATAATATTCCACAATGAACTCACAAATACTTGAGACATCACTTGAATAACTCACACAATACGTCTCAAATTAATGCAAAAAAGACTTATTTCGAAAAAAAGTGTATATAAAATGGTTTTGAGGACTTATATTGAAGGATACCATTAAGAACCAACTTCATGCCTTTAAGTAGAATCTCTACTTTTAGTAGTCTCTACCTTTAGTTGCAGAAACATCAACAATGTTTGAAATTCTGGAGTATTTAACGAAAATAGAACAAACACCATATAATTAAACAAACCAAACAAAAAATTTAAAGAAAACAGTTGGTGCCCCTGGTGACACACCGAACAATTGAGGAAATTTTGTTTAGGTATTTTTTAATTCTCACGAATTCAGAACAAAAAATAAGCGAAAACTACACATTTTTCGAAAAATTGTTTATAATATGATTAAAAGATCTTTTGGAAGAACAAATTTTATGAAGAAAAATCTTTATATTCAATTACGTAGTGGTAGGGGGAGTCCAAACTTTTAGTAACTTTTGCAATTTTCACTGACAAATGGACATGACACAAGGGTTCTTAAATCCATTGTAGAAAAAACATTGGAGCCATTTTGAGAAAATTTTGAAAACCTCTTAGGGTGTAGCGTTGTTAACAGGTGAAAGACGTGCCAAAAAAATAATTTTTAGTATCAGACTCTCAAAATGCCAAAATCTCGACATCGATTTTTTGCAGTATCACGTACATTTCTCTCTATTATATGTACGAGAAAGTAAAACTGTATGGCACATTTAAATTGCAAAACTTCATGCAGTCTATCGGATGAATACGAACAGGGCCTGAGGGGATGGTTTGGGAGCTGATTGCCCCTCCACCGATATTTTTTTATCTCAATCCCTTGAAGAACGGAAATAATGATTTTGCTGAAAAGTAAATTGGTACTGTTAATAGAATAATTATTGCTGTAATAATTATTATCATTGTTATCAATTATTAATTTAATTATTATTTTGCACGACTCACAAGCGATTAGCTGTCATTGCTCTGCAGACAAATTCTCAGGAGTCGTAAGCGCTGTCTCAGTTTTCGCATATTTCACATTTCTTGAACACTGGGATGATGTATATATGCGTGTCCTCGTAATGGTTGTAGTATCAAATACCGATGATACAAGTTAAACAGTGACAATATGGGGTAAGGAACAGTCTCTTAAAAGTTTATAGTAAATCATGTTAATTTTTTAGGAATGGTAAATTATAAATAAATAAATGTCTTTATTGATGGCGAGGCTCAGGCCATTTAGTCTGCTCTTCCGCCTGCAAATCATGGTTGTAAGATCAATTTGAATTGGGTCTTGAGGAGCTAAAGCTCCACAAAATACACAAAAAATTAAACCAAAAGAAACTTTGACAGAAAACTGATGTTTGCGAGAAAACTGAAATGCAACGGAGCTGCGTTTTTTTTCAGCACGAGCTAATCGAAATCTTAAGATTTCTCACAATGGAATCTCCGAGTGCATCTGTTACTAACAATGCAGCGCATCTCCGATCTGTGGTAGTGTGGCTAGCTATTGTCGGGCTTAAATATTATGACTTGTGAGATCATCATTTGTGACGCGGTTATCCAATAGGGAATTTCGATACCTAAAATGAATGTCGTAACGGAGTTCCCGATTAGATAACCGCGCCTGGCTGGTATGTCACAAGTCACTATATTTAAATCGGACAATAAAAGAACCACATTCGCTGTTGTGTCAGAACCCCGTGTGTCTCACGCGCACAGCCTGAAGGAGTTCAGAAAGTGATCGCAAGTAATGTTGACACACAACAGCTCTTAACGAGCTAAGGCCTACCAGCAGCGGCCCGGGCTTGAAACCATGGGTTAAGGGGTACGCGTGGTTAGCTCTTTGCTGTATTTCTGGTATTCTTTATCTGAAAAGTGAGCTTTCTCATCGTCACAAAGCAATATATTGTGGGACATTGCAAGGAAACCGCACAATTAATTTTTGCCCCCGATGGGGAATCGAACCCGGGATTGCGCTGTGGAAAGCGAGCACGTTAATCAACGAGCCACCGAGGGCAGATGATCGCAAGTCATAATATGTAATATTTATGATGTTAGAATTAAAGGAAAGTGCACTTCAAAACTTGTTAAGAAATATTTTTTACACGTATTATTCGTGGATTCAAAGTTGGTCTATTGGGTCTGTTAATTGAATGCGCGATAAAAATGAAAAGCATGAGCTTTTATTTTCCATGATTGTAAGTTGCCATTTACCTTCGACGTGCATGTCTTCATTTTTAAATACTTTATCGGAGAATTTATTTTAATATTTTCGCATGCTTTTCAAGATTATTTGTATCAATCATTACAATATTATTTACAGAAATACAAACTAAATCACTCGTGAAAACACTCCCTACCTCTCAATTGCACTCAGGGAACTGACGCTTGCAAGAGAATAAGAGATTTCATCTTCTTATTGATATTACTCAACAATCTCTGATATTAAAAAAAGTGCTTAATATTAAAATTGATGTTAATTATTAAAGTTACTGATCATTCAATAGTTCGCAATACTTATCTCCAAAGTGTGCTACGGTGAGACAATGGACTGGATTGGAGGAAGATGGACAGATTGGAGATTCTTACCAATAAGTTGCAGTTGAAACTGCTGACGTGATAGGCCGTTTAGTATCTCGTGGTAGCTAGAATCAGAATATCCTTCAAAGCAATCTACTACAAATCACGGAACTATTGCGAGATTTGTGAATGAGGTACTAAAAGTGTTAAAACGTGAAAGATGAGAATCTGCTAGTTTGTTGTATTAGATGCTGCTGCATTCAGGCTTATAGCAGCTACTGAATTTAAGGTATTTTGTCCTAATTTGGTCCATCTGACGTGCTTGGCTTATTGACTGCAAGTTGTGTTGCCGAAGATATTAGAAGAAAATTCACAAATGTGAACAACTTCAGCAACAAAAAAATATTTTTAAAGGCTTCGCAACGAGTGTTATCTTATAAACAGCCAATGTGCTAAAACATTTAAATATAATTGAAATGAAATGATCATAATATACAAATTCGAACATATTCTTGATTTACTAACTTCTAAATTGTAAGCAACAAAGTAATTACTGCAAATCCCAGCTCTAGTTATAATTAACATCTGCAATGGCTGGAAATATGTTTTCATCATTGAGTATGCCGGTAATCCACTTTATCGTAAGTCAACCGGAAAGGCAATGAAATAAATACTAGAGCCTGCCTACACTGCATACTCTGGGGTATCAAAAAATGAGAGAGGTCGTATTGGTGTGCCCTTGGCAATAAGACAAAAGTACAGGAATTACTAAAGCCAGGGAGCAGATAAATGTTCGAATACGAGAGCTGTCTAAAAAGAATCCGACCTTATTTTTTTTCCACGCAAAGTAGTGAATCTAAGGCGACGCCGCTGTGCACGGTGGAAGGAGGAACCTTGATGCGCATGCTCGGATTTTTTCACCGCGTTCGCCTGTGCCAGTCGCTGGCTGGTGGGCGCTAAGTGAGGTGCTGCTCGTAGTGGTCGTCGGATTTAGTTTTCTCGCAAGATGACTGAACGAATTGAGCAAAGATACTGCATCAAATTCTGTCAAAAGCTTGGTGATTCTCAAAGCCAAACAATTCGCAAGATTCAGCAGGTGTTTGGAGAAGATGCGATGGGTGTAACACAAATTAAGCAGTGGTTTAACCGATTCAAAGATGGCCCCACATCAGCCGAGAGTGAGCAGCGTGGCGGCAGGCCCCAAACTGCTTGGAATGCAGCTATTGTTGAGAGGGTGCGAAGTTTGGTGATGGCAGATCACATTTTGACAGTGCGGGAGGTTGGAGTGAGTAAAGATTCTGCACATGCAATTTTGCGTGAAGATTTGAACATGAAACGAGTGGCTGCTAAATTCGTACCGAAGTTGTCTCCGGAACAAATAGACCTCCGTTTTGACGTTGCACAGGACCTTCTGGACACCGCCAACAAACACATACACCGGTTCACGTAGATTCAACATACTAGGAAACAGAGGTCCATTATTGTGAATCAAGGTATTAAAATAAAAGTCAACGGGAATCAACAGAGGATTAAGGTGATACTATTTGCTATCTAAAAAGTATTTCTCACTAAATATGCGTGCTTGAGAACCATAGGATCTGAACCAGGTCGAGAGTGTAATGTCAACATGATATATTTTTGGAAGCCCGAAGGAGAACTTTACAAAATGTTTTCATCAAGTGTGGTTGACTAAGAAAATATTATCTGTATAGGAAAGATCTCCAGATACAATGAATGAATCTATGAAATGATGTATTCATTAATCCGCCTACGAAGCCTTAGGCGAAAAGGAAGATTGGCAGAAAAATAGGAAATGTTCATCGTGTTGGAATAAAAACCACTGAGGTTTTTGTAGTAAAAAATAAAGAAATTTACGAGAAGTGGTTAGCAATAAGTGCAGATAAAAATAGAACAGAATATCAAAGATTGAGGATAGAGACTCGAAGAGAAATTAGTCAAGTCAAGAATGAATACTGGGAGCAGATTGTTAGAAGGTGGATAAATGTTTAGGGAACTCGATGTCTAACAGAACCGGGAAAATAATGAAAGGAATGAGAATGGAAAATAAAGATATGTTGGGAATATTCCCAATTAGTGTGCAGGGAATGGAGTAGTTATTATAAATATACTTTAACTGAAGATGTTAGTTTATGTAAGCCTATCAGAAAATATCCACAAAACATAGAAACATCTATTGTGCCTGTTGCTACAAATGAAATAAAAGCAGCTTTGATGAAGAATTTGAAAGTATCTTATTTGTTGACCTTATATGTTGACCTACAAAAGGAATACGGTACAGTGTCATTAAATCTGTGGCTAAGGTGGAATGAAAATTACAGCTCAGTAAAAATAGATAAACGATACTTCCCAGAAATCCAGGTGAGCAAGGGGCTAAGACAAGGCTGCTCACTAGCCCCGGCTGTTATTCAAGATATATCTTGAAGAAGCCTTTAAAAGTTGGAAAATGAATTATGGTGGAATGGGTCTTAAACTTAAAAATCGTAACAAAAACTTTTAAAAACTGAATACATGGTAGCAAGAGACAAAAACAATGGGACCTGGACATCGGCACGAAGATTAAACAAAGTGTATCCATTAACGCCCAGCTTTCTCATTTGAGGCAGCACATTTCCGGACAACTCAAATTTGCTTACTTTACAATAATTTGAGAATTTTACTTCTTCAATAGACGTAGTCATTCTAAACTAAACACATAAGTAACTTTTAGTTCCTGAGTGCTAGATATCGATTTAGCCAAGATCGCAAAAGCATTGTACGCTCCTGGCGAGGGTGTGTTGGTTTGAATCTTCAACTAAAACCGTGCTTAACTGCTACATGTCTGTGGTTAATTCGGAGGGTGAGGCCGGAGTAAAATAAACGGTGATTGGAACCGCCATGAATGTGCTAGTAAATGAAATGCTTTGGAACTTATAGAAAGTGTTCTTCCTTTACCTTTTCGGATAATGAAATGAGTTCTAAAATGAGAGTCGTTTATGTACAGAAATATGATCTCATGGACGATAAAGGGGAGTCGAATTACAGCGCTGCAATATATTACTTTCCATTATTTATATAGAGTATTCTTAAAATAATATACCAGTTTTTGCAACGTAAGCTTTAACCGTCTAAGTAATAAAGAAATTACATCTACGCTTTGAATTAGTATTTAAAGTGACGGATAATGTATGCTTTAGGTTCTTCAGTCGTAGAAAAATGTTGAGTATTGATTTGATTGCCATGTCTCAGTGGGATTAATATTAAATATTTTATTGTTGAATATCAATTGAATTCTTCGCATGCTGTACATTATTTTTGATTTATTATGCAAGATGATAGGCAATTTATCTACGGGATGAAGGTATTATTGGGGCCCAGAAGGGTGGGGGGAGGCTGGGGTTATGCCAGGACAAATAGTTCACTCGCTGGCAAGAGCGCGTACGCCACCGCACAGAATGACACAAGAGAAGATAAATATGTTTTATCGCATTTAGGTGGAAAATATATAGCGTAGCAGCAAATTATTGGTCGTTAAGAAGCATATTTAGCCTTAAGAATAAAATAAAATATTTTACCTATTGCACCCTGAGGAAGATTATTTTTCACGTAATCAGCTGCAGCCAAAATTTGTTCTTCTGAAGCAACATCCAATTGAACTATATGCAGTCTCCCTGAAGATTCTTCTTTCAATTTACGGGCTTCTTCATTACCTTGCGTTTCCGTGAAGCACGCATAAACAGTGAAACCCTGAAATCAAATAGACATTATCTGTAGAAAGAAGCTCTTGAAATTTTGCAGTTTTTTCAAATGACTCTTGGAACTAATTGTACGACTTCAAATGAATTTAGTTATTCATCAAAAACTTTCATCTTGAAGGCTTGAGAATTGGAATAGAATCTCTTGATTATTTGTACATTCTCGCTTTTGTCGTAAAAAGTGACTGCGCGAATTGAAATAGAGCGTCGGTATCGGTGATTGTTTTACAGAAAAATTCGTATTACCCGTCCCTCGTAAAGAAAAAGTGGATAGGTGTTGTTCCTATACGCAATTAATTTCTTCCGCTATCACGTTGTGTAGTCAATATCCTTGTTTTGTGGATTCTTGATACCGATGTATTGACTGACAGCAAAACGTCTGTCGTTTCGTGTGTCCGCTTGTGATCAACGCGGAACCTAAACCTTTCAGACGATATCTCCACAATTGATATTCCCTGATCGATCTGAAAGAACTCAAGGCCTTGCGAGTTTGAAACGAATATTTTGAAATTCGTTTCAACATTTTCAAAATATTTATCAAATTTTCCCAAAGTTGTCTCTTTATCATCAAAGGTCTTTTTATCGTTAAAATCCCTGATTTTTCGGAAATTCAAATGTTTAAATTTCTTTTCGGCGTCTTTCTACAACTACAATATTGAAGATAGAGATTTTAAAAAAATTAAAATCTATTCTCGAAAGATATTGAAATACGGTCATGAACAATGTTTCGAAAATATGAGTAGTTTTCGCAAAATTATGCGTGAAATAGAGGCAATTTTTATTTTTTTAAAACAATTATTTTCGCTAGGACATCTAGTTTTGTGTAAATTTTCTTTTCGTATGTTTGAAAGGACGGTAAAACGTGATGCTAGTGTCCGGCAAATTCTCTTTATTTTCAAAAATTGCAAAATCTGAATGTTACGTCGACGCTTCTAAAATAACAAGAATCTTTAAACATTTAGTTGTCATCTTCGGACGTAGAAAGTAAAAATAATGTATTAAGAGTTAAAATTAAATTAAACTAGTGGAGCTACAACGGAAGATATCTTCTTGCATTATTTCTAAATATACGATTTTCGAAAATTCAGAGAGTTCGACAAAATTGAACACAATACTTTTAAGCGCATCTTCTTTTATCTGCGGAGAAAATTAAAGGAGAAATTTGGAGCGTTTTTGAGAATTTTTTTTAGAAATTGTATAACTTTCAAGCACAGATAACGGAAATACTACTTGTCTTTAAAAAAATTGCCCACCCCCTTTCTTAAATAGCTTATTTTTTACATCAGACTATGAGACAAAAATCTATATGTTCAATTTTGTAGTTTTAAAATCTTAACTTTTTGCAATTTGCGAATAAACAAGAAGTTCGGCGGAAATTATAGTAGCACCATACTTTTTATGGTCTCTTGATACTCAAGAAGAGAATTAAAAAAGGATTGACGCGATTTTTCAGAAAAAAGTTTTAAAAAATCATGTTTTCAAAAACTTTGTTTTCGAAAAATCGAACACAACCTCTTTTCAAGATCTGTTTTTAAAGAACACATGTCATTAAGAAAAAAAAATATCTTCAACATTTCAGGAAGACGCTGAAATATTTACTTTTGCAATTTTCAAAAAATACGGGATTTTAACGAACATGAGACCTTTATCATTCTCTAAAGCGACCTTTACGCTACGCGATGACAACGTTTAATCAAATAATTTGGAGCCATTTTTGAAAACATATTGAAAATATTGAGGCTGGTATTACCCTCAAAAATCAAAGTATCAGTTTGAAACTCCCAAAACCTGGTGTTCGTTCTGATCAATCGTGAAATATCAATTTTGTAGAAAATGAAGTGAACGATTTAGGCTCGAGCGGTGATCATGTACAGGCGTTTTGCCGTCAACCGATTTTTCAATTTATAAAGGACCCGATTAAAAATGGATTCTGGTTACACCACATGTTAGAGGAAGTAATTTACTATATATAGCAATAGGATTTTTCTTTACTAGGACCTAACAAAAAAAAAATTTGCTGTCGACAATTCGCCATTTTCGCCACATAACTTTCTCTTCTTCAAAAGTAAGTGCGAGAAAGTAAGAAATACAAGAAAATGCGCGGTCGCAACTTTTCTCGTATGTTCTTTCGGGTACAACCTCTACCAAATCTAGAATATTAAAGATATATAGAATTGGTGCGTTTGCAAGCTCATATTCTACAATATACGTTTCCATTCTTACACACACACACACACACACACACACACACACACACACACACACACACATATATATATATATATATATATATATATATATATATATATATATATTAGAATATAAATTTGTAATATGATAGTTCTGTTGGGTTAATTCAATGAGGATTAACCCATTAAAACTATCATATAGTATGAGTATGCTACTCATAAAAAAATTCTCCTGGAAAACGATAATAATTCTTTGGAGAGGCAACGCTGACGATGAGCCTTTTCCTTCCGATTGACCCGAGCCCTGCACTGCGTACTGTAAACAGCTGGTCCGGGTGATAGAATCTCCAGCGATCTGCGTTATCGTGTGTGTCGTATGGGCCGCCTCATTGGCGTCACATGTCATCTCAGCTTTTTGTTGCGTTGACCGAAGCGATGGCACTGGCGCACGAGGTTCGCGCGATTACCGGTAGATCGTGGCGCTAGAAATTGCAAAAGAACGTTTTCGAAGAAATTTCTCAGAACCTTCTGGATGAATAAAAAATTATCAGTTTCCCACTAAAAGTCCGCGACGCGTCAAATGACCCCTCGTTTGTCTCGATCGGTGAAGGGGAAGGGGCCTAACCGTGAACGATGGACGGATGCAGCTTACTCAAATACGATGGATATTACTCCCATTTAAAATAAACTTGAATATTTCAATTCGCTGAACACATATTTTCCTTTAATCATTCCACAATTAACACCTCTACAAGCACCCTAAAAAACAATCCGGAAGTGTTTCCTGGTCCGCATATCAATTGACTGAACTATAAAAAATGCTATCGATCGGTGATTACCAATAGCCATGACAATACTGGCAATCAGTCTACCACAAACACACACACACATACACACACATTACTAAATGAGTAATATGTAGTACGGCGGCAGAAAACAATTTTTGGGTCACGCTTTATTATAGTACATAAATAGCTATTTGAAAATGAATCTTGTCCGAAATATTAATGTTTTTGGTCTTTTTCATTTGACAACCTCGTGGAAATATCTTTATATTTCTGTCTTGATTCGCCCGCTATTAATTTTCTAATAATTTAAATATAATTTATCTGCACTCTATGATTTATTTGAAGATAGTACAATTGTGTATTCTACTGTGACTGCACCTGATGCACTTACCAGGTTATCCAGCTGTCTTGCAAAAGTGTATCCAATTTGTGAATCGCAATCCGTGAGAAGAATTCCTTTTCCGGCAGCTGTGACCTGAAATATATGAACATTAATTTACATGAAAATAAATATTTATCTAGTACAAACTTGATTTTTGGAGTCTTTTTATAGTGGAGACAGCAAGATGGTGAATTTTTTAATGCCAAGCTTCTCCTTAGAGACTACTAGAGTCTCTGGAATACAAACGTAAAATTTGGGCACACACACACAAGTGTGAATCTCCGTTTACTTTTAGTTCAAGGCACGATAATCTTTATTTTTTAATGGTAAAAAGGTATCAAATTTCTCAATTATTAAAAAATATACTCTAAAACCTAACTTAGATCATTACGGAAGCAAGGGAGAATGGCGGCGGCGAATAGAGCGGTAGTGGTAGCGGAAGCCATATACGGATCCATTAGTATAAGGGCTTCATCTCAATATTCCTTTCCCATGGATTTTGGGATTTGTGATAAAAGAAGCATGATAAAACATTTGTTTGCGCCACGTTATTATATCACGGTGTGATTGCTATATGTCGCTATGTAAATATTATTATAATGCTATTCTGAAAGTGACTTTAGTACAAAATATGAAATCGGAAGAAAACCATTAAATGCACTCAAAATGTGTTTGGGAAAGGCCGGGCGTGTATCACTTGTGTCGGAGACGACCGTGCTAGTAACTGAACTAGTTATCATGACTAGCAACTAGTAACTGAATGAGCAACAGTAATATTTTGGAGTCAACTTCAAGTATAATTTAAATCTATTACATTCGGTGTTAGGTTACCTCTACAAACGTGACTATAGATCTGTTCGGAGAGGATTGCACGTAGCGATGTTGAGAAGTGGGAGCAAGAAGAACCATTGCTCCAGATATCACCAAACTCTATGATTGACGAATGCCATAAGCAAATGATTTTTCTCTGAACTAAAGGATTCAGAGACTATCGATAATTATTTAGTTTAAAAAGAGAAGAGAACAAAGAAATCTTAATTGATCTATTAACATATTAACATTTGATACAGAGATCTTATTGCCTATAAAATAATTTCCTGCCTTTCCGAGATTATATCGTAAAGTTTGTGAAACTGAGTGAGATAGAAACGTGGTTTTTACATATTATTTCTTATGGTTAAAGCGCATGCCACCAAAAACGATTTTTCAGGTATGACGTCTCCATTAGCAATAAACATTTAAAATCAACCGGAAATTGCTCACAGTACACGTATCATACGTATATTGAATAAATACTTTGAATGAGTTAGAAAAGGGGGCAATCGCTCTTATACATTTTTTGGGGAAGTTGGTAGAAGACGAAAGTCACACGCATGCCCGGCCTATCAAAAGAGAACTCGAGATCTGCTAAGGCAGAAGGGAGTTCCAATTCCTGGCTGCGACGCGCGCTAGTATACCGTTCATGATTATGGAACAATTATAGAAACTAATGTGATATTCCCGGTCATAATTTCAATGTGATATTCCCTGAAGGCTAGCAAATTTCTTTCATATTACATTTAAATCGTATTTTTAAAAAAGAAAACCTAATTAGTCTAATTTTAATTACTGTATGGGGAAAGAAAATATGGCAATACATTGAAAATGCAAATACATTGCTCGCAACATGGATAAAAATACGGATTATAAAATAGGTTTTAAATAATTTCTAAAAAATATTAATTTGCAAAGTTTAACAAAAGCTCGAATATAGGAAATAAACAAAGAAATATGAAATAATATAGGTACAAATTCTAACTTACGTAGCATCCAACTACCTGGAATCTCCTCTCATATTAAGTTCACGAAGAGCAGGAAAGGGTGACTATTGTCTAAATAATATTTCTGTCGACTTGTTAGCCGTGAGTGGGGGAGAGTTATGTTGCCACTTACGCGGGCGGCAAATCAGCTGTTGAGGCAGACACATCCAACTTTTTGTATTTATAGTAGAATTGTAATAATAACACGAGTTTATTTGATGAAGTATTGTTACACAAATTTATGGCAGTCCCTTATACGTACTAATCCCACCAATGCAAGGAATAACGAAACATTTTTGCATAACACGCGCAAAGCAGATGAAAAGTAAGTACAGCGAGTAGCGTTTTTAGAAGGAAGATACGTAGTAATCTGATAGATTTATAGGAAAGAAGTACTTAACCTCAAGACATTTTTGGTTTGAATACGTACTTTTCTTGGAACGTTCACAATTACAAAAAATTGCAGGACTTTTTGAAGTTACTGAATTTACTTGTAATTTACAAGGTTTATAATTTACAAGGGGGCGTCCTACCGAATGCATTGTCACAAAGATAAAAATTCCGTGAAGGTGGATGTACAATGTACATAGACATTGTGTCGTAAGTATATAGAGTGCTTGATTTCTACAATTTTAGGTTTCGGAACGCGCCCCAAATTAATTATTAATTTAATACAAATGGTTATATATTTATAATACAATTTTATAATTTTTCCTGAGGTTCCGGAACGCCGTTTCGTCGTGTTCCGCCAGAAACCAAGCACTGAGTATATCTGCTGTTAAGTATTGTACATGTGCACAAAGTAACGTAATAACATAAAACTTATAGACGACACAGAACCGCACGTAATAGCACTCGCCGCTCTTCAATTTTCAGTTGCTTCGCGCTTTGAGATTTCAATTTTTCTTAATAAATTGGCAACTCTGTAGTGACATCGTCACAATTTGAAGCCTCTGATTGAATAAAGGCACCCCCTCTCCTCTGTCAGCCGGGAGCCGTCAAGTAGGCAGAAGAATTTGCAGTTTATGTTAGACGCCAAATTACACAAAAAATACTAATATTTTCAAAAAATTCAACATGACCTTATATGAAGATCTGTTTATGGCGATTACATTTTATTTAAAAAATGAATCTTAACAATTGTAGTTGTAGAAAGAATCCGAATTTTTTAAAAAAAATTGTACATTTTCGAAAAGTCAGTCATTTTAACGAACATGACCTGCACAATTCTCTCTCTGCGAAAAAAATGTTTAAACAAAATTAAAAATGATCTATATTTCACCCAAAATTACGCGAAAAGTACTCAAAATTTCGAAAAATTGTACATCAGCTTATTAAAAATTCTATCTTTAAGGAACAGATTTCATTATGGGAATAATCCCTGTTTTTAATATTTTAGTTGCAGGAAGTAAAATTTAGAACTTTCGCAATGTTTGAACAATCAGGGTTTTATCGAAAATGAGATTTGCATCATTCTCTTAAATGTCCTTTGCGTTATCCAATAACACAGTTTAATAAAAACCGTTGGAGCCTTTTTTTTAAATGTCCCAGGGAATTATTGAAAGTACCCCCAAATTTAAAATTTCGGTTTCAAATTCAAGGAGCCGTGACATCTGCCAGATTGAAAGGATAATGTCCATTTTGGAGAAAGTCGGGTGAACATTTTACTCGTAGTTGCTATCGTTGTTGACAATCAGACGGACATACGTTTTGCCAGCAATCGATTTTTCGGTATCAAGGATTCAAAACATGGATTCCGGCTACACCACGTGTTAGATATTTTTCAAAATTTGACAAGTGGCTTTATCAACTTTTTCGTTCCCTGTAATAAGTAATTATAATAAGAGGGCCCTGTAATAAGAGTTTTTCTCTACACAGTTGTGAGAAAGGAATAATTCATTGCAAGAAAGTAAAAATAAGAGGTTGAAAGGTGAACAAGCATCATAAAAGATTTCAAAGAGAAAGGAGAAGAAATGAAAAATGTGGAAAAGGCCCTTACTACGCAGCATTTCCCACAACAATTAAACAGGAACTGAGGTTGGGGCAACGTCGACAAATTGAGAAAAGCAGTCAGCAGTCGCGCGAACGCCAAAACTCCACACTCATTTTTGACAGTGAAACTGGAAACGACAGTAAAAGAGATGGTTTCGCCACACACGCAGATGTAACATTTGAGAATCTAATTGTAGTGATTTTAACTTATTGATGTCCGGTGACGAATGAGATATTTTTTGGCATCCACCTCTCTCTAGTTTTAAAATTATATTTGATGTAGACGTACGTGTATGTTCATTTTATTTTCTCGCATACTGCTTAAGCAGTAGAGAGAAAGTACTGTAATGCTGCTAGAAAACAAACCCGATTTTTCGACACATAAACTCTTATTGCCGGCGCCTGGTAACGAAAATCTTGTTCCTATGTGTGTATGTTTTGTAGGTCTTTGATTCCGAGAAATCCATTGAAGGCGAAACATTAACATTGTCTATGGTAAAAGGTAGCACCTAAATATGGAGATGATTTTCCATAAAATTGATATTACCTGATCGATCTGAAGGAACTCGTGGGCCTATGAGTTTGAAACTATAGTTTCTAAAGTTACTATTGTACTATAGGTAAAAAATTCGACCAAATCAACTACAGACCTTGTAGAGAATGTTGTTTTAAAATACAACTATAGAAATGTGAACGATCCGGAATAGTGGCTAGTCTCTTTAACCAATACTTTTCGAGAATTGCTGCTGATCTGCCGAGGGTCTTCAGTTCAGCATCAGACGTTTCCCCAAAAATTTTAGGTACGATTCCAAAACGTCTTTCAATGAAATTCTCAAATAATAGCCTGACTAAAAATAAATATTCGGCTAGTTTGGATGAATTTTCGGATTGTTTGTTAAAGGTTTGCCCGCCCGCCATTATATACCCGTTAACTCACATATTTACTGTATCCTTATTCACAGGAATTTTTCCAGATATTTTTAAAACAGCTAAGATTAAGCCGCCTTCAAAAAAGGCAACAAAATAAAATTCAAAATTATCGGTCAATTACTCTTTTGTCGTTTTTTTTCAAAAATATTAGAGAGACTTCGAATGGAAACATTTCTTAGTAAACACGACGCGTTTTCAGATTGTCAACATGGGTTTCGAAAAACAAAATCTACGGAAACAGCCAGATTTCCTTTTCTTAAAGATGTCACCTCATCCATGGATCAAAGCGTAGCAACTTTTGGAATATTTTTAGATCTTTCAAATCTTTTGACATCATTGATCATAACATTTTACTCTCAAAATTACCTTCGTTTGGAATTCGTAGTGTTGCTCTATATATTGGTTATGGTCATACCTTAAACAACGATATCAGACAGTAGAAATACCTTACTGGAATATGGAACATTATGTACACACCTTTCTGATTCTTTGCCAATTGCATGTGGAGTCCCGCAGGGATCGATTTTAAGACCTATTCTCTTCCTACTGCACGTAAACGATACACCCTCGACGATTAGAAATGGAAGAACAGTTGTCTTTGCGGATGATATGAATATTATTTGCAATAAAGAAACTGTAAATAGTACAACATCAGATATTTGAAATTGGTTCCACAATAACATATTAATAGAAAATAACACTGTTTCAATGCAGTTTTCCATTTCAAATAAACAACTCTGTACTCCATTGAAAATGAATGGTGGGCCATTAACTGGGGTTAAGCTAACAACATTTTTAGGTCTTTCAATTCAGTCAAACCTTAAATGGAACTTTAATTTAAATGAATTGAACACTAAATTAAGTTCTTTATGCTTAGAGAATTCTTTCAAATTCAGTCAGCCTCCACACTGCTCGTTGTGTATATTTCGAGAATGTTCATTCCCGTCTGAGATATGGCATACTATTCTGTGGAAATATATCTTTTAGCTCCCAGACTTTTAGATTACAAAAAAGAATTGTACGAATAATAAGCAAATCCCATCCACGTCATTATTGTAAGCCTCTCTTTATTAACATAGGTATTTTACCATTACCTTGTTTTTACATATATGAATCAGTGGATTTTGTCAAAAATGACTTACTTAAGGGCGGGAATAGATTTTCAGCAAACGCTGATATCTGTAACTACAACACTGGAAGTAGTAATCATATTCATCAGGTGACAGTATCAACAGCTCACTACAAAAAATTCACATACAATACATGTACATTATTTTACAACACCTTACCAGATGACATTAAACGATTAAATTCGATACAGAAGTTACGTCCTAAGTAAACTCTTTTGTGTTGCACAACTGTTTCTATATAACTAGAGACTATACCGCGCATCCAAAAGGAAAGTAATATTAATTTAACAATATTTAATGTATTATATATCATTCGGATTGTATAATTGTAAAGAATCTGTAACAAGTATTGTACTAAGCTTCTGGGTCAATGTCCCCATCTCGATCAGGTTTTTGTCCACTTTCCCTGATCCTCGACCAAATGCTGAGATGGGCCCTTGTTTTGCTTCTGGACATTAATGTAACTTCAAATTAACTTCTCCCCATAGCACGTCACACACAGATTTAACTGTTTTTGATGCAAATAAATAAATAAACGGGTGTGCTGATTTTTGGGAGTACTTTGCATTAACTTTCATTAGCATTTTTCAAAATGTTCTCAAGAATGTCTCCAAATTTATGGATTAAGCTTTGTCCTCGGATAATGTAAAGAAGTCTTAAAATGAGATCCGAGGAAAAATCTAATAGCAAAATTGTACAATATTCTTCAAATCTGTTTTCAAATGGACAGCACACACAGTTGGCTCAGGGCGCCAACGATGTCATCGCAGTGTCTCTGACGGGGAGGTCCTGGAGTTCCAGTCCTGACGGTGACAGGGTTTCCGACACTTGCTGGTCAGTTAGGTGGCGCTTTGTGGAGAACAATTCTAGCGACCGGCTGCTCTGATGGATCAACAGCAGGCGAATGCCGAAGCAGTAACCTAACAACTAGGCCACTGACCGAACGACCTACGAATCGTGCGTAGTATATAGAAATCAAAATATTCTGCGAACACATTTTAATTTTTTTCCAAAATGGAAATGAGCGCTGGATAAGAACGTAACCTAAACCGATAAAGGGGAGGCTAAATGAGTGATATCTCGTTGTCCACTCATTTCAGAACAAGGGATGTTTATGAATAAACTATATCAGTAAAAAATCAGTCCTTCGGCTCTTTATTTTATTAAATTACTTCCACAGTAAGAGCTTTTCAGTTTATGGTTCAGAGCATAGGTAGCAACTCAAGGTAATAAATTCATTATACTTCAAGACTAATTAAATTTTAAAACTACCAAGTTAATTGAAGGGAAGAATTCCAAATTTTCTAATTTAACAAATGTATTCACATTTTGTTCCAGATCAATAAAGCTATAATACTGTAATTTTTAGTGATGTTGTGGATTGTCGAGTAATAATAATGATTCATTCTTAAATGAATTTTATCTAATAGAAAATATAAATAATGATGCCTAATGTTATAATTTGTTCACTTTTTAGGAATTAATGTACATGTTCGTCAAGGGTTCACTATAATTCTTTTAAAGCTTTATGCATGCAAATAATATCATGAGATTTCCGTGCAGATTCAAGAGGTGATAAATAGATTCAAAGAGTTATGTATAACGATAATATGTGCATTCACTTATAATTCTAGCTGTACATGGTACATAAAAGATATAATAAATGCTGAGTTGTTTTGATCTTCTTTTTATTATAATTTGATGGTTAGTAACTTTTGAGAGTAAATACAATAATTTTAATTTTACGCAGAAAACACGAAGGATATAATTTATGTTTTCATTAATTCAGACTATAAATTTCTCTGATGTCCAAGGGCTTTACTTCAAGATGATCGTAATAGGGTATTAATTACTACTTTGCATAATTCTTGTCATGATGCTGCTATCTATCTGTTTGATTTTGTTCGTCTTTGAATACCACTATAGGCTTAACATTCTCTAGGGGTTTAAGTGTAGCACGCACGTTTTACACATCGTTATACTGCTTACGTATCGCCATACTTTCAAGAATTAAGAATTATACAGAACAGTGAGAAATAAATATATGGCAGCAAGTTTGTTTGACTGATGTATTTCTTGCAAACCGTTTAATCGCCGCTTACGTAAGACCTTTGCCGCCAAAAGTCCCAGCGCTAGATAATCGGACACTACTTTTTTTGTTCACATCGTTTCCTTGTAATTAATTTTGATCCATTAGGTAGCAACTCATACATTTAATATAATTTACAAGGTCAACGGTATGCATTTTATATTTTCCTAAAAAATATGCGCGTTGTTTAGTTTAGTATTTAACAAAAAATTTACAAATGGTTACACTGTTCTTCGAAATAGTTTCCATGTCAAAATTATAAAAGCGTAATTTATTTAAAATTAACCTAATTCTGCAATTTAATTTTTGTCATAAAGGATAAAAAATGATTCGGTAGCAACTGAATGTGTTACTAGTTGTGCTTCGAAGAGGCTCTAAAAAGTCAGTGTGATTTTGTAAAAAAAATATTTAAGGTAGTCCGTAAAAAATAAGGGTATATTATTTAGCACAGACATTCCTTAAATATATGATACATGCGTGTTTCCATTCTCGTAGACATTCAATTCGGTTTAGTGTTCTACTGTTATGATAGAGTATTATTGAGTATTATTTTTATTATAGTAATTTATTTTCCATAAACGTATGCATTTTAATAGTATATTCCAAATTTTATTTTATAAATCACAGCTATTAATAGGAAGTATATGAATGGAAGAACGTCTGGTCTATATAAAATTGGCGACAGGGTAGCTGCTGTAGCGCTCCTAAATATAACTCTTGGCTACCCACGGGCAGAGGTTACGTGACGCCGATGTGGGTCAGAGAAGCTGAGTTTACTGCCGAACGTACATCTGAATTCCTTTGAAAAATAAACAAACATGTCACATTTAGTCAGCAGCACAATGTTGTTTCTCATGGAAAATATTTTATGATGTATACGTAAATAATGAAAACATACTTTGATTCAAATATTAATGCATTAAGCGTAATGTATTATTTTCACACAAAAGAAAGTACCAAGAAATCTGATTCGTGATATGGGTTTGCCGTTCTTATTTTTATCACGATTTCGATTTGTTTCATAAACACATTACAGGAGTAGACCGGCCGTACGCGCTGACCTCTCCGAACGCGCCGAATTTGGTTACAGAGAGTTTGCTAAGTTGGCGGAACGACGAGGCGTAGGTGCAGCGGCGTCACGAGATTCGCGAAGTATTATTCTCTGAAGTATCTACGAACTGCATTCTCAAGGCCCGAATTATTATTAGAGCACTCTTGGCATTATGCGAATGGCGTAATCATAGTGCAACTATAAGCTTGGGTAGAGATGTTTTAGTGAAACAATGGTATTCATTTAAATGTAAAGGAAATATGTTTGTTACGTATATTTTTGTTAAAATTGTGAAAATGTATTGAAATAATTTGGACAAAGTGAGATACAGCGATATTCCGGCCCTCAAGGCCCTGCACCCGCTTGCCAAGCCACTGGCCAGCCTGCGAGTCGCCGGCCGCTCACCTTGAGATTGTGGTAGAAGAGCACGACGGCCAGGCTGACGGACACGAAGAGCAGGAAGAGGCTGAACGTGGAGATGTGCGAGATGTTGAAGGTGTGGAGCAGCGTGGCCACGATGACGGCGGCGGCGTGCGAGAACAGCACGGGCAGAAGGCATCGGTCGAAGAGGTCCCAAGGCAGCTCCTGCTCCTTGGGCGCCATGGCAGCCGCTGCGTCGCCGGCCTCCTGCCTGCCGTGCGCCCGTCGCCTGTCGCCGCCGCGCCGCGACGCGCCGCGCCGCGGCCGGCCCGCCGCCCCCCTTCGCGGCCGCCCCCGTTGCCCCAGCTCCAGCAGCCCCGCCTCCAGCGGCCGCTCGGCACAGTGCTCGCGCCTGCAGCGTTTGCTTGCGCCTGCCTTATGGCCTACACTCCTTCCTCAGGAAAGACAAGCTCCTTTTACTACTTACTTCAGCTCATCCCTTTCGTAGTGGGTTTTATATTTATTTATTTAATTTATTTATTTATTTATATTTATTTATTTATTTATTTATTTTATTTATTTATTTATTTATTTAATTTTTTATTTATTTATTTATTTATTTATTTATTTATTTATTTATTATTTATTTATTTATTTAATTTATTATTATTATTTATTTATTTATTTATTTATTTATTTATTTATTTATTTATTTATTTATTTATTTACTTATTTATTGTATCCGGGGAGGGCTTTATGTAAAGTACCCCCACATTTTAAAGAATGTTTTTCAAAATCTCAGAAACTTCGACTCAAGCCAGATGGACAGGGATTTCTTCAATTTGAAAAAATATCCTACCCATGGTTTAAGCGCTATTACGGACAGACGAACAGACGGCCAGATAGATACAGATAGACGTTTTGAAAAAAAAAGAAAAAAACCGTATATACTCAGTATATACGTATGTTAAAAGGAAAGTAAAAATGAGATTCCAAATTAAACAGCTGAAAGGCGCTTTTATTTTTGTTTCAATGAGGTGCATTCCGAAGCGGAATAAAACAAAAAGAAACTATCCTCTAAACTATCTTTTTCTTCGCCTGTATTTCAAGTATTTCACGTATTTCTTTTTTTAAATACTCCTAACTTATGTATTTAAATATATCTCTAAACTACTTGCCCCCAAAACTCAAGATTACCGTTTTTCAAATACAAAATGTATTTATAAGACGTATTTAAAATACAAGTTTTTAAGTACTACCCAACCCTGCTAATGCCACACTGCAAGTTATGAGTGATTGTAACACTTGTTCATGGCCAACGATTTCAAATAATAGATACTCAAAATATTTCATGTCTCTTTGTGCTTTAAGTCTACATAATGTAAACTTAAGAGTAGATAATATGGCAGTAATAAATAACTCCAAATAAATCCAAAGACTTGTATATCACTCTTATTATGTTCTTACAGTGCTGCTTGCATATGTAGTATTTAATTTCTGCCAATGTTCTGTAACAATGTTCGTACCGTCAAATCAGAAAAATCCGACGCTCCGTCTCGGAAGGCCTCCAGCGGAGCGGGCCACCCCTGACCAACCAGGGGCCACGGCATCGCGTTTCCAAACTGACTGATAGAGGATTAACTATTAATCGTCCTCCCTACAGGATTTGATCTCCCCTGCTGGATACATTAATTTGTTTCTCTCAGGGACAGAATCCATTTCTAGAGACCAGTGTTACAATTTCTACACAAGCGTAATTTTTTTAATTTGATATTCTACGATGCGACGGTACCAAATGTTTTTAAATTATAGTTAATCCATTTATGAAATACTGTATATTTAAAATCCTGATTATTCGAAGGTTAATTCAATTTTGAAACTATTTTCACTTTTAAAACAATGATCTACAAAACTCGGAACATTCTTACAGGTCTAACTAGTATTCCTCATTTCAACATCTTACTGCTCTAAATGTTGTAGGTGAGCGACAACCCCGGTTGTAGGTAAGCCTACTATCGTCTCCAGAGAGCGAGGGCAAACAATCAGTACGAGATGCTCATCATCAGCAGATCAGGAAGACGATGGCCAGAGACCTCTTAAGTAACAACTCGCTAGATCCAGCTAATGGCCTGCTACTCTTTTAAAACATTCATAAACAATTCTTCATAAACGCCAAGGAATATTAATGAGAATGGTTTGACGAAAGAATTATTGAAAAGATCATAAATACCCACAGTTTGTTTAGAAACGTTTTATAGTTTTGTTCCCTAGTCTTTGCTTAAGTAAGATCGATTGTATAAATATGTGAGATGAAACTTTACTTCATTGATGTTAAGTAATTTCGCAGTTAATAGGCAATGAAAGGCACATTTTATTCGGAATTCTCCATTCCAATTGTTTGATTTATATACCTGCAGAAACAGTTGCATTTAGAGGTGTTTCAACCGCACATACTTTCTCACATTATTTGAAACTTTTTCGAAAATTCACTGTTCAACGAAGATCGGACATGCACCATTTTTATAAGCGTACATTGCTCTATTCAAAATCTAAAGAATTTGAGGGATTTTGAGAAAATTTTGCGGGAGCGTAATATAAAGAACCCTCAATAATACACTCAACAATTAAAATATCCTTTTAAAATTCAAAGGGCTGCAACGTCAGGCAGATCGACCTAGGACCTATCAATTTTGATGAAAATTAGAGTACGTTTTACTCTCTAGCATTGTTCACCAAAAGACGTGCGAACAAGCAGATATTTTGCCATAAAAGTGTTTTCAAGGGCACATAAAATGAGAATTCTGACTGCACAATGTTCTAGAGAGCGTTATTTACTCATACTAGAGCACAAAAAAAATCAATTTTTTGGTATCAGGGTCCAACAATATGAACATTTCTGTCTTTTTCTGGTGCATGATTGCAATACGTTTTTATACTTCCTAAGTCGAAAACAAGAAAATAAAATCGGATATGTTCGCTTTCGAAGGAAATACGGGTCCTTTCCTCCACGAGAACGAAAACCCCCATGATAGACGATATAAATAAATAGATAAATAGACAAACACATAAACAAACAAAGAAACAAACGAACAAAATAAGTAAATAAATAAATATGCACATTTTCACAATTTGTATACACTGTGGTATTTGTCAGTTAATGTATTTTAAATTACTTTTAATGGCGTTTTTCAAAAACTAAAAAAATATGAAAAAGAGTTTCAAATTTCGAATTTACAGTAGCGTTTAAACGCCATTCTCTTAACAACGGCTCGAAATTTTCCAAAGAAAATTGCCATTTGGGACGAGGTTTTACGGTTCTCTAATATACGTAAAATAAGATTTCCGTTCTACAATTAGAAAACCAAAAATCTTTAAAAATTTCAAAAAAAATATTCTTTGGGCGGCGATAGAGGGCATCAGGCAAAAGTATGTGGCAAGTCCGAATAGCTAGTCACCACTTGTGGCGGGACAAGTAGGCGCGACCGCAGGAGAAAGATTGTGCTGAAGTTCGCGATTTTTTCTGGAATGCATCTATTAATTCATGTAACATAAATACTTGATACCCGCATGTTTTGTATTTGCCACGTATTAGTAAAATTTTTAAAATGCGAATTTGGCGAAAGTTTTGCACAGCCACGCCGGAAATCACTGAAGACCCTCCGCGTACCATGTAGTCTTGTCCACAGTTCCAGTGGGCAGTAAATAAGCCCAGCGAAGGTCGCGCGCGTACCGCCTGGCCCACTGCTCGTGGCCGGCGCATGCGCCAGTAGCGCCACTGGGCAGCGGAGGCGGAAGCAGGCGCCAGCGTCATCGCTCCGGAAGGGAGCGCGCTGATTCACTGCACAGATATTCCTCGGAGCGCGCCAGCCACCAGCCGCACGGAGGGCGGCCGGAAGTATCGGCCCATCCTGCTTCCTCCACCCGTTCTTGCCGCTCTCTTTTCGCATAGTCGGTACTGAAATTGGGAATTGGTGCAATATCTGTGATTTAATAAAAATATTGAATATAAAGTTAATTTAGGGAAAATGAGAATTAATTAGGACTAGAATACCCATATAGTGGGTATAGTGAACTAGCTAGTGGCTAGTTCTTGGTCAGCGGGCTCGCCTTCCACTATGCGGCCCCGGATTCGATTCCTCGTTGAGTCAAGACTATAGTGTGCGTTTTCCTTGCATTGTCCCAGTGTATGTTGCTGTATGGAAATTCCCTTTTCAGATTGAGAAGACCGAAATACGGCGTGGGGATATCTACGTACTAACCACACGTACCCCATTAAACTATGGCCGCGAGGCAGGGACGTCGCCGGTAGGCCGGAGCCCGTTCACGGGCTATCGCGCCAAGTACATACATAAAATACCTGTATATACAATTTTCGAAAATTCAGAGACTTTAACGAATATGAGACGTACGTCATTTTTTAAACGTTCTTTGCTTTATTCGAGAGAAAAAATAAAGAAAATGTTTGGTGCCATAGAAAATACTTGAAGAAAAAAATACGTTAAAACAAACATTCTCAGAAAATTGTGGTTCTTACTTAAAGATCTAAATTTGAGAGCATATTCTATTAAGAAAACAAATCTTTATCATCGTTAATGTGTTTTTGCAATGACCATTTCATTTCGAAAATTTAAAAAAATATGGAGAGCTTGCCGAAAATGGGACCTGCGCAAGTTTTCAGACGTTCTTTACCAAATCTGAGGGATTATGTAAAGAATAAACGATAATTGACGCGGTTTTTACGATTTTTTTATAATTAACGTTTACTTCAAGCAACTATTTTGCGAAAACTACTCGTATTTTCAAAAACGAATGACAGGATCTTCTTTGAAGATCTACATTATAGAACAGATTACATCTAGGGACATTGTATCTCTAATATTGTGGTTTTGCTATATTAATTTTGTGCCATTTTCGAAAATACAGTATTTGCACAAAATTGGAGCAACGCCATTTTTCAGCGACCTTTTTTCTATTTCTGGAAAATTTGAAGCTGTTGTGGAGAAAAAAAATCGTAAATTGCCTTTACTTCAAACACAAATTATGGGAAAACTACTCATATTATGAAAAGGGTATATCTTTATTTATAGATCTAATTTTTCCAAACGGATGTCATAAAAGAGAACTCTGCATTATCTATTTTGATCAATTTTGTTGCAATTTTTGGAAACAGACAATTCATCGGTAATAGGATTTGCGCCAATTTGCGGGAAAACTACTCATATATGCAAAAATTGTTCATGATCTTATTTAAAGATTTGAACAGATTTTGAGGAAAAAACCTCTATCTTCAATATTATAGTTATAGGAAGAGGCAGAAAAATGGAAGTTTTGCAATTTTTGAAACTTCAATGAGTTAAATGAAATGAGGCCATCGCTATTTTGGGTCACCATGTCCGCTTAAGATTGCTAAGCGAGGCTCTAGCAGAAATAAGCGAGCTTAGATCTAAATAGCGTTTCACCATGGTTCGTAAGCTTGGCTTAACATTAAGCTACTCTTTGTGCAAAAGTGCTAGCCGAACTATCGCTTAGGACGTAAGCCGGTTTAAGGAGACCAAAGACACTTGAAGGAGAGGTTATATGCAATTGCATTCGGTGACGACGACCACGTTTTTAAAGAAGATAAAATTTCTTCACCTAGGCGAACTACATGAATCCCAGAGAGGGCAAATTTCGTCGCAGACTCCGATGAAATTGATTTTTGGACTCGCTTTCGCCTTTCGAAGAGATCGACAATATTGGTGTTGGAGCAGGTTGAAGAAAAACTAGCATTGACATCTGACAGGTGTGTATAGTGGCCTAGTTGTAATTACATAATGGAGAGCTTAAAACTTAGGCTTTTAATAAACAATGTTTCTCTCGGTTTTTCTCTCAGTATAGTAAAAAAATAACATTTGTAACTCAGATTAAGGTTATAATATTCTTGTATCAGTATTGAATTTTAATTTTAAATACAAAAATAATTCGAACACTACGAAATTCTAGTCATAATCCTATTAACTAGATGTGCAGTAGCTACTCAAATCCAAAATTGCATTGTATACATGTGTTATGTGAATTTAATATATCCATAACGATTTCGAAAAAATTAACACTTTGCACAGAACTTTGTGAGACTATTTTATTTCACTTGCCAATGTTCAACTCATTATCATTCTCCTTCCTAGAGCCTTTTCCAGCGTGCCCAATGAGACGCATATTCGACTATAAACTAGATACCAATTCACTTACGGGTTCCTCTGATCTGGGGTCGACAGAAAGTTGTCGGGAGGTCCTCCGCGACAACACATAAAGGAGAGACAAGGGACAAACAGCCATGCCCAAGGCGGGACTCGAACCCGCGACCCTTCGTACCGAATCATTATTATCCAACCTTCAGGGCTGTGATTGTGCAATAAGCTTCTTGAAATGCAATATTATTATTTATTTCTATAAATAATAAATCTATGACATTCCTTTCAACAAGAGAGTACACTCAAACACAAAATTGATAATCGTAAAATAATTTGATAGAATAAACAATGAAAAAAGCTTAGCAAAGCAGCACTTAACGAAAAATTGGTGAAACAGGTCAGGCGATAGTGTTGCCCACAGACAATTGGTCAGGCAGATAGACATTTTGTCTTAAACAAATTTTTCGCCTCGAGCACTCATAATATGTGAATTCTGACGACACATCTTGTTAGTTTTTAATGCATATAGAAGCAAGAATGATCCACTTAATTAGTATCTGGGACTCAAAAATCGAGTTTTTATGTAGAAAAGTTGCCGTTTTTTTGCAACATTTCAATACCTGGAAAGCTCAGAATTTGCCTGATTTATGAGAGATACATCTATTTATTAATTAATTACCTTTAAAAAATGTCTTTACTGTCTGTCCAACAAGTACATGTTTTTTAGCGAGTTGTCAGTTCTTTAACTTCAGCTCTTAATTAAATAACCTAACTGCTGAATCTCATGAGGTAGCTGATGACATTTTTATTTTGCTGCATTTATTCCAAACCAATGGTGTCCATTTTATCAGTACACGCAATTATATTTCCGTTTCTCACTACGCGTTATTCATACTATTTACTTATGACGTTAATAACTTGTACATCAAACGTTATATGATCCTAAATGCTATCCCGGACAATTATAAAAAGTTTTATTTCAACTTCGACGATATTGGAACATCACTTTTACTTCCGATTTCTTCCGCCCTATAAATCCGTCTGTGTGAGTTCTTTATCTTGCGCGCCCTATCTCTTCTTGCGCGAGATCCTCCCCAAACGTGTCCCTTCTTCCCTTGCAGTGCGCAGATCATTCGATCTCTCGTACACAATCTAATTTCTGATTGCTCCCTCGTAATTATGCACTGGATTTGTTAATTTATTGGTTCCGTGTTTGTAATACTTTTCATAACTTGTTTTTACATCCACGGATTGCTCACGTCCTTCCATGAATTTAATTATTAACATATTCTCGCTTTCCCCGCCTACACTTGTGTTGACATTGCCTTGTAATGTTATTAATTAAGATTCACATTTTGCTTATCATCTCTCCCCATTGTTGCGATTGTCAATATTTACAATTAATGTGTTTTTACTGTTCTGATTTATTTATACTTGTCAGAACATAACAGATCATTCTGTAGAATTTTTTCATTCTTTTTGCTAATACACCTGCGTATTATGCAATAATCAGCGAAAAGTATAATTGCATAGTTGATTCCAATAGCAATTACTGAAAATGAATTGAATGAAAGGCCAATGCCCTTACACCTTCACCATCAGGAATTCCACAATTCACATCGGCTTTAGATGAGTATTTATTACATACTCGATTTGAGTGTGCGCCGTAAGAAATGCTCTAATACATAAGATTATTCTATGGTCGACTCTAGTCCTGCCAACTTCACAATTAGATGGTGATGATGGACAAGATTAAATATTTTAGAGAAAAGTAATATTTTTGCGTCAATCCTACTCCCGTCGTCTCATTGATCTATTATATCACTTACATACAGTAATAGTCTGATTGTTGGATGAATACATAGAAATAATATCAGTTTTATTCCAAACTCATCTAATATACTCCGCAATTATGTGTTTCAGCTTCTTGAAGACAACTGACGTCAAATTGAGGGGTCTGTAATTATTAATTCTCCTGCTCTCCCATTGGTTTGTCTCTTTCCAATTTTGTGGATTATTATTATAATTTGTAGTGAAGTCCATTGATGCAATTAATGGAATCATGGCTTACCCTCCAAATTTTAGTATTTCTCCTGGTATTCCAATCAGGATACACCGAGTTGTGTTGTGTGAATTTTTGAAGAAGTAAATTCTCCTTTATATGCTGACAAACGTATGCATGACCATGTTTTTAATAAATAAATAACATTATTAGACTTGACTTGAAGAGAGTTACTACCTCAAAACCATTCTATGGGTTTCCTTGTCGCAGTAGTAATTTATTTACTTGCATCGAAATGAAGGAATAATAATGCATTGATATTCTGCATATAATTACAGTAATGGAGTTGGTAAAAAATGTATTTGAGAAGAACATTACGTTTTTAATTGGTATGATCATGTGAATTATAAATGTTTGTGATCGTCATTAACGATTTACTTTTTATAAGCCTTTCTCCTAGACATTCAGGTTTCCATTGCATATAATGTTGTGTACGAAGTGGATAAATGCAGTTTGAAGAGAATTCCACCCTCCTTCCTATAATCGTCTTTGGTTTGCAAATTATAACTTTACACACTTGCAAAAAGCTATGAACTTGTATAAGGTCACCGTGTTGCTGACCGTCACCGTCCTCACCGT